GCTTCTCTTGAGGCATTTTACTTCTTGCTATTTTATTTCATTTTTTAAAAAATTTATTTATTTATTTGAAAGTCAGAGTTACACAGAGAGAGGAGAGGCAGAGAAAGAGAGAGAGAAAGAGAGAGAGAGAGAGAGAATTCTTCCACCCACTGTTTCACTCCCCAATTGGCCGCAACAATCGGAGCTGCACTGATCCAAAGCTAGGAGCAAGAAATTTCTTCCGGGTCTCCCACATGAGTGCAGGGGTCCAAGGACTTCAGCCATTTTCCACTGCTTTCCCAGGCCATAGCAGAGATCTGGATCAGAAATGTAGCAGCCGGGACTTGAACCAGTGCCCATATGGGATGCTGGCACTGCAGGCAGCGGCTTTATCTGCTACACCACAGCACCGGCCCCTATTTTATTTCATTTATATTATTTAAAAGAGAGAGACAGATGAAGAGAGAGAGAATCCATCTACTAGTTTACTCCCCAAATGCCCAGAACAGGTGGGGTTGGGCCAGGCCAAAGCCAGGAGCCCAGAACCCAGAATCCAATCCAGGTGTCCCACAAGGGAGGCAGGGACTCAAGTACTTGGGCCGTCACTGCCACCTCCCAGGGTGTACATTAGCAGGAAGCTGGAAATTCAATAACTCCCACATGGGATATGGGTGTCCAAGGCAACGTCTTAACATCCACCCCAAATATCCACCCTTTGTATTAAATAAAATCATCCTCTCCATTTTTATTCCTCTCACTGAAACTTTCTGCTAATACTCACAGGACATAGGGCAATAGTACTAATCGAAGCCCAGCTACTAAGCTTCTAGATTTTAAATGAATAACTTAATCTATCAGATGTGAACTGGTTCTCCCCTCCTACCTCGAAAACACACCTTCACCATGACATGGGAGGCTGGTTTAAAAGAAGAATTCTCAGGGAGTATCTAGAGTCTGGCCTTGCCCTCTGCCCCCAACTCCAGACCTCTGTCCATTCTCCTCCCACCACTCTCTCCCATGAGGCCTGCTGACAGATTACAAATCCACCAAGCATATTCCAAAGCTTCCTTCTCCAAATTTCCCTTGGTCCAGGCATGATCCCATCCTCCTCTTGAGTGTCTGAACTCATAGCAACGTCTTGCTTTGTCATCAGTACCTACTTGTTTTCCTACTCCTCCTGTCACATCAGAGGTTCTCTGTGTTCAATGCCACTGGCATGTAGGATCTCTGAACCAACTTCTGAAACAAAGCCCCTTGGGCGCCACCCAGAACCAAGCCCAAAGTAAAGTAGAGAAACTGGCATGGACTTTTCATGGTTCTGCTGTTGATGATGACACACAGCCAAGACTGATAAGGACTGCTTAAGTGGAAAAAAAAAAAAAAAAGGAACTTTGTAGATGCGCTTAAATTAAATGAAATGGGGAGATTATTCCAGATTATCTAGACAGGTTCTAAATGCAGTCATCCGATAAGACAGAGACAGAGAGAGACTTGGAAGACGCACACCGAAGAGAAGGCATTGTGACCACAGGGGTGAAGACTGGAGTGACAACAGCCACAAAGCAAGCAGCCCTGGAGACTGGACACAGATTCTCCCCCTAGAGTCTTTGGAGGGGTTGAACATGGCCCTACCGACACCTTGACTTCAACCCACACAGTGGATTTCTGGCTTCCAACACTGACATAATACATTTCTCTTGGTTCAGTCACCACATTCATGGAAATGAATTACAGCAGCCACAGGCAATGAATACAAGACATCAAACTGATCTCCAGAGAGGTAAAGCAACTTGGTTGGCGCCCCAAGGTCAGGTAGGGCAGAGCTGGGTTTCTCCTGAGGATTTCCTGGCCGCTTCTGCCCGTCTTGCTCTTCTTTCACTATGCTGCATGTTGAAGAGTCCATGAGTTCTGTGCCTCTGGGTCTAACTCTGGGCATCACATGTCAATTGTAAATCCTACCTAGTCACCAATGCTTTCAGTGACACCTCAGATTTAACAAAAATTGACCCCCCCCCAAAAAAAAACAATAGCAGCTGACCAAAAGGACAAGACAAAGTGTCTACTACAAGATCCAAGAAGGTACTTATGGCAAATATTTGCTTTAAGCACAGGCAATCAACGCACAGGCAGAAATGCCCATCGGTGCTTGGAGGTGGAGGGAAACTTACCCGGAAAACAGTCTAAGAACCCACCAGTGAGGAAGCAAGCAACCAGGTCACTCATTGTTGGGAGGGTGGGGGGGTGTGCAGCAGGGCAGTATAGGGAACTGGCATACAATGAAAAAGAGGGATGGAACAATTCTGTTTGCCGAAAAGTGAGTAAAACTTGATGTCAGGAGAAAAATGGGAATTGGGATAGTGCTGCAAGGTGATGGCTTTAGGCACCAATCTCAGCAATGCCGGGAAATCTTCAGACATCAAATTCACAGGAATACTCTCCAAAGGAGAATTACAGTTCTCAGCTGGGAGGAAAAGAGCACCAGTTCACGTGTGATAGTTCCACATGAACACCTGAAACTTCCTTTTTTCCAATCACGCCCTTTATGTGCCACTGTAACAAATTCAGGACATAGTTTCCAAATGAGGAAACTGGCACAAAGAGAGATTTAGTGAATAACAGATGAGAGGACAGATGTTTCCATTACTTATGACTTCAGAAATGCATTTGTATATTTCCTCATTGATAAACAAATAAAAGAGGTAACACAATACTCAAAACAAGGAGGTAATGGATTATTTAGACTTAATGAATAGAAACTCTTTCTTTAGGGGTTGGGAGTAAGAAAGATGAGGCTTTTTCAAAAAGAGCATGGAAAGTGGAATTAAGAAATAAGTTTATTTTGGCACCAAACAAGTTTGAAATCTATGCATACGAGGAGATCCTCAGGAAGTTCATGAAAAACAGGTATTATGAAAAAATTATGTACAAATTTCAATGTTTTCCACCAAAACAAACTTACCTTTAAATTCCATTTTTCAAGAGATTTTTGAATTGCCCTAGTATGAGAGAAGCAGCAGGAAAAAGACTAAAAGCGCCTCGCCTATATTGAGAACCTATCACAACAGGATATAAACATTTCCTTAATGATCCTGCAGTTATTGCAAACAAAATAAACAGTCCAACCTTAACATGTCCCCGCTCCCTAAGGACCTCAGCTTTGCGTTGAGCTTAAGAATTAGTCACTCATTTGGACTGGGACAAGTCCCTGCAGATTGAGAGAGCCTGTGATCAACTAATGGGTACGGCGTTATTGTCAGTGGATGTTGTCACCCCACAGGAGGCTGGACGGTTGCATCATTCGGGATGAAGACAGACTTGTGTGTGTGTGACAAACAAAAGCCAACCTGAGGAGGCTCCCCTGGGAAGCTGTAAGTGGAAGGCAGGCAGTGCTTGCCTGCTCCACATCTGTTCTCCCCCTAATCTACAGAAAAATGAACTTCCTGGGCAGACAGGAATGGAACCCATCTGACCAGACAGAGACAAAGGAGGCGATCACCTTGTCCACTGCAGGCTGTGTTCCAGCTCTGTCCAACAGCGAAGCCCAAGACATCTTTAATAGAGCCTCGCGAAAAGTTCAAGACTTCATGTAATCTCTGTGAAGACTTCAACTAGCATAAAGTGATCATAAGTTCATCACTGTAAATAAGCAGAATTGAAACCATTCAGATTGAAAAGTCATAAATTTTAATGCAGCTGCTTTCCTTTTTACACATCTTACTGAAGGTTCTCAGAAATCCAATCTATCTATTTTTTTAAGTTTCTTTTGATAACACAGTATGCAAAAAAGTGAATTAGGGGCTGGAGCTCTGGTGGAACAGGTAAAGCCACCACCTGTGACACAGGCATCCCATACATACAGGAGCTGGTTCGAGCCCCAGCTGCTCCATTTCCAATCCAGCTCCCTGCTAATGGCCTGGGAAAGCAGCTGATGACAACCCAACTACCTGGGCCCTTGCAACCACATGGGAGACCTGGAAAAAGCTCCTGTCTCCTGGCTTCAACCTGGCACAGCACTGGCCATTACAGCCATCTAGGGAGTGAACCAGCAGAAGGAAGATCAATACCTTTCTATCTCCTTCTCTTTCTGTTTAACTCTTTCAAAATAAATAAAAGTGAATTAATTTTTTTAAGTTTAAAGAATGTCAGACTGAAGGATTCTAAGCTAATCTAAAACCATTTCCCACATAACCAGAACCTGATATCCTTTGACATTGTGCAAATGTTAACTTCCATGTGTGTCTATTACAGGGAGGGAGGTGGCTTCTAAGCATGGCAATGGCAGAACCCCAAGCTGCTAAAGGAGGAAGCATGCTGGGTCTGCCTGCATCACTGTGCCAGCTAAAGCAGATCGAGACTCGGCCTCTTCTCCACATTTAGGGAACTCGGGAGGAGGCCCCAAGTCTTGGAAACAATGGCTGCCCTACGTTGATGTTTACTGTTCAAGGAACAAACGAGTGACCTCAGGAACAGAGAAAACCACGTCTGTGAGCAGCACGAGATAGAGAGGCTGAAAGGGTCCGTCAACACTGTCACTCAGAAGTGGTGAAAAGAACAGAAGGCCATCAAGTGAATAAATAAGAAGAAATGAAATGAAGGGACATGACTCCCAACAAAGATGACACAACTTGGTCATGCTCAGGTTCTCCCCCCGCCCGCCCTTCCCCCTCCCCAGTTCCACAGCCCAGTCCCCCTGCCATCACCCCCACACAAAGGGTCTTCATTCCTCACTCATTTAGCTCCTGTAATGTGCCTGGCAGTGTAGAATGTAACTAAGGGAGCAACAGTGAACAAAATAGCCAAATGCTTTACTTCACACCAAAATAAGAAGAAACACCTGAGGAGGATGCCCCTTGTCCTCAAACAACAAAACAACAAAAATCTGCAGATTAGAGGATTCCTAGTGCCAGAACGGAAGGCTCTGGAATCAATGAGAACAAATGTCAGGGTTACCACGGAAGGATTCATAGAATGGTGTAGATTCCTAACTCCAAGAGGGAAGGTTCCAGATTCCATAGGGTGAACAGAGGTCAGGGTGACCAACCCAGGAAGGCTTCATGGAAGAACAGCTTGGCTCCGGGTCTTGAAGGAAGAGGAAGCAGGGCACTCACGTCAGTGTGCAAGGGGTATTCAAAGGCCTGGGGACAGGAGAGCTGGACTAGGGAGGCACCCAGTGCCATGGGAGGACGATTAGAGGGTTCAGTGAGAAGGGAAGACAGGCTGAGAAGGGTCCAGGTCCTGGTTACCTAGGACACAGGGGATGAAGAGTCACTGACTCTGTTACACGGGGCCGTGGCTGACAGACTAAAGGCTGAAGGGAGATCAGTCTCATGGCTAAGCACACACTTGCTTCCAGAAAGCTCAGAGGCCCATCTGGCCCTAGCACCAAGAGTATTTACTTTGCCCAGCGGCCCTTCCCTTACTTCTCTTCCTCCTCACACAGTTCACTTTTTAAACACTGGTTATATAGACACCAAATCCTTCTTGGCATGAGAACAGGGAAAATAAAAATATAGCAAAGTAAGAAAAGCAGGCGGGCAGACGGGTCAGCAGGCTGGCTGCTCTCCCCACAGAAGGTAAAAATGAACTCTCCACTGTGCCAAACTCTGCCGAAATTTGGGGATTCAATAGCACACGTTACCTACCCCAAGTTAGGGTAGGTGTTAGTTTTCCTTTTCCTGTAATTGACTTCCTAAATTTTTTCTAACTGCTAAGTCCTTTCCAGTGATACACCATGAAGCTTTAACATCAGTTTTCCAAATTTTTGTTTCACTTAAACATAAAGCTAACATAAGATACAGCCAACCCTTGGGGCCGGCGTTGTGGCACAGCAGGTTAACACCATGGCCTGAAGCGCCGGCATCCCATATGGGCGCCAGTTCGAGACCTGGCTGCTCTACTTCCAGCCCAGCTCTCTGCTGTGGCCTGGGAAAGCAGTAGAGGATAGCCCAAGTCCTTGGGCCCCTGCACCCACGTGGGAGACCCGGAAGAAGCTCCTGGCTCCTGGGTTTAGATCAGGGCAGCACCAGCTGTTGCGGCCAATTAGGGAGTGAACCAACAGATGAAAGACCTCTCTCTCTGCCTCTCCTCTCTCTGTATAACTCTGACTTTCAAATAAATAAGATTCAATCAATCCTCCATCAAAAAACAAAGTGTGATTACAGAGGCTCAATGATGCAAACACATCCAAAAATCATAAAACTCACCCCAAAAACAATTTCTATAAGTATATACTTTTATTATTTTTTAAATATCTCTAATCATAATACCTTTTTTATTTATATATTTGAGAGGTAGATTTACAGACAGTGAGAGGGAGAGACAGAGAGAAAGACCTTTCTTCCATTGGTTCACTCCCCAAATGGCTGCAATGGCTGGAACTGTGCCAATCTCAAGCCTGGATCCAGGTGCCGCTTCCTGGTCTCCCATGCGGGAGACTTGGACTTGGGCCATCTTCTACTGCTTTCCCAGGCCACAGCAGAGAGCTGGATTGGAAGAGGAGCAGCCAGGATTAGAACCAGCACCCATATGGGATGCCGGCACTGCAGGCAGAGGACTAACCTACTGAGCCACAGCGCCAGCCCCTAATCATAATTCTTTTTTAAAATATAACACATAGGGAGAGGAGACAGGATTTTTAGAAGACCTATTTCACCATTGCTGGTTGACTCACTTATTTCCACAGGCTACACCCCAAATGACGGAGACCTATCCTAAGAAGCCCATCCTTGAACACACCACACACATGTTAGATCTGAGCTTCTAACTAAACAAGTGACTCCAATACTGACACCACCTTTTTATCAGGTAGGCGTTCTTTAAAGAAGAGTTCAGGATAATGTTCTGGTTTTGCCCATTTGCAGAGCAGTGCAGGATATCCAGAAAGCACTGGGAATCTCAAAATTGGAGAAACGTGGGGAAAAGCCAAGTAGGCTTTTCACAAACACTACACCAGGAGCAAGTCACTAGCTTTTCCCAAGCATGCCTAGGGCGTCTCAAATGAGGCACTAGCTTTTCTCTATCCTTTCAACATTTCTTGCCAAAGACCAAGTTCTTCTGACAGTGAAAGACAGAAGGTGGACATCCACAGGGGATCTGCCATGACTCTCCAAAGTCTTCCAAAGAGTGGGGAAAGTATGAGGGCAAATGCCAACTGCAAAAGCCAACCCCCAGCTCACCTGGAACAGGTCACAGGGGAACCAGAGCAGCACCCAGGGGAGAAAGCACTCCTGGAAGCCAGCAACATGCAAAAAGAGAAAGGGTTAATCACACAAATTGTATCTGAAGAGGAGAAAGAGCCTTCTGTGATCAAGTTCTAGAAAGTTCTTATAAAAATAAAGATGGAAGACAATTCATAGACTACCTCAGAGTTTCTCCACTGGAAAGCTCACCAATGATTTGGTCACGAGCTCTGATTAGGAAACAACTTCAGAGGCAGGCATTTGGCTCAGCAGTTAGAACACAGCTTGTGTTGCCTAACAGAGGCTCTGCATTCAAATCCCAGCACAACTGATAACTCCAGCTTCCTGCTAATACACATGCTAGGAAGTAGCAGGCAATGGCTCAAATATTTGGGTCCCTGCCTCTCACGTGAGAGATTAGGATACAGTCCCGAGCTCCTGATTTCAGCCTAGACCAACCCTGGTTGTTGTAGTCATTTGGGAAATGAACCAACAAATGGAAATTCTCTCCTCATTTGCTTGTCCTCCACCTCTTTCTCTCTTTGAAAAAAAAAAAAAAGCAGAAATAAATAAAAATTTAAAAAATTCCAAAGCAACAAAAATTAACACATGGGGCACCACTGTAAGACTTACCAATCATAATTTTCAAGGACAAGCACATCAAAACCAAAACCATACCAATGCCTCACCTACTGGAAACGCAAAAGTCTGTAAATCTATAGAGCAAAGACAAACAAACAAAACAAAAAAAAAAAAAAGGAAAGTAAAGGAAGGTGTGTACAGTTACACAATGTGTTAGAAAAGCAAATACATGTATTTTGTTCATAAAAGAGAACTTTGTGCTTCAGAACTTATCTTAAGCTTTATTTAATATGGTACTTAGCTTTCTAATCCCAAAACAAATTGGAGGCAGTAAATTATAAATGGAGAATTCAGCATTTGTTGACCTTCTCAACAGAAGATAAAAATTAAGAAATACACCCAAATCACATAAAAATAAAGCACTGAGGGATTCTTTAGTTAACTGCAGGTTACACAGCTCTATAAGCCTCTTTAATACTTGAGAGTAATTAAGGCACTGCCACAAAAACACAAACATGAGCACACCACACACACACACACACACACACACACACACACGAGTTTTCTGGGACTCTTAAGAGCAAACCCCAGGGGCTGGCGCTGCAGCGTAGTGGGTAAAGACACCGCCTGCAATGCCAGCATCCCATACGGGTGTCGATTCAAGTCTCCACTGCTTTATGCTGTGGAAGAGGGCCCGAGTCCTTGAGCCCTTGCACCCATGTGGGAGACCCGGAAGAGGCTCCTGGCTCCTGGCTTCAGATCAGCGCAGCTCCGGCCATTGAAGCCATTTGGGGAGTGAACCAGCAGATGGAAGACCTCTCTCTCTCTCTCTCTCTACCTCTCCACCTCTCTGACTTTCAAATAAATAAATAAATCTTTTTAAAAAGCAAACCCCAAACATAATACTATCAACAGAAAGCTGTCCAAGTGTATTTTGCAGATACAAAGACCTTGCTTGTGGAGTTTCAGAAAATAGAGCATGGCCTTGTTTTATAATTGTGTTCCTGAAAAGATCAATGTAAAACAAAAATTTATCAAGTATTGGCTACCTGGCCTACATGTTTGTCATGGTATTTTATTATAAAAGTGTTTAAAAACATAGCCCTAATAAAGAGTAAATGTGAGAACTGCAAATATTGTTTAACAGACTTCTTTCTCAGTACATATGCAGTTACAACTTTGGGTAAACTGACCTGACTTGTATGTAGTAACAAAAGATGCACAGTATTCTACACCATCCATTTTATTGCTATTTTCTGGAGCATTCCCACTAACAAGAATTTGAATTTTCTAACAGCTGCGCTAGCGTTATCCACTCAGAGTGATTCATAGACAGGCCTCCTTAGGTAACTCTCACAAGATGCAGGCAAGCCAATTTGCCCTGATTTTAAATTGTTTCTCTATCTTCAAAGGAAACTTACTTACATTAACTCTTTAATCATTGGCTTAATCAGGAGCACATTCTTAAATACTTTACCTCTTGTAAGCAATGCCAGCCTTGCACTCCTAGGAATAAGCAAAGAGACTGACCAGTTGTTCCTGAGAAGTGTTCCCCCGCTTCCTTGGATAACCACTAGATGTTATTTCCCAGCCTCCTTTGTGGGTAGGTGTGGTCATGTGACTAAATGCTACCCAATGAAATGGTAACGTAAGTGATATGTCTATGGAGACTTACCACTGCCGCCTTCCATTTCCCTTCCTACAGCTCCATATAGAGATGCACACTGACCTTGGAAGCCATAACGTGACGAAGTGTGGGCCAAATGTTCAAAGCTGTCTGAGGCCCTGGACAGCCCCTGGGAAAAGAGCCACCCAGCACTCAGGAAAACCATAAGTTTAGTCTTTATATTTTGAGAATTTTCTTTTTTGTTTGAATTACATTACAAGGGTTTGTTTGTACTGTTAGAATATTAAAAACAGTTGAGAAATATATAAATTGAATTAGCCTGTAAAATTTACTGGGCAAAGCAAATTTGAGAATAAAACACAAAATAAATTTATATTGGACATACTGGGAAAAAGAGAATACCTCACTATTAAAGCATTCTCTTGCAGGAATTGAAGAATAAAAAAATTTCTCTGGTTTATGCTCCAACCTTGAGTACCAGATTGGAGAAGTCCAGACTCAGAAATAGCCAAAGAATGGGGTGGACATTCGATGTAGCGGTTAAGATGCCACTTGGGACAACTGCATCCCATACCAGCACACCTAGATTCGAGATCTAGCTATTCTTCTGATCCAGCTTCCTGCTAATGCACACTCTGAGAGGCAGAGATGATGGGTCAAGCAACTGAGTCCCTGCCACCCACGTGGGAGATCCAGAAGGGGCTCTGAGATTCTGGTCAAAGCCTGGCCAAGCCCTGGCTGTACTGGGTACCTAGATAATCAATCAATAAATAGAAGATCTTTCTGTCTCTTTTCCTCTCTATTGCTTGCTCTGCTTTTCAAATAAAAATGTAAACAAATGAAAGTTGAGGAAAGAAGTAGCTGAAGAATGAATCCCTTAACTGAAGTTAAACAAGTGGAAAAAAAATTCCAAAAAAAATTTAATAAATTTAACATGTACTCCTTCTCATTAATATCATATTCTGAGATTACATTTTGTTGCAACAAACTTCAAGGGACTAATTTATCTTATCTTGGAATATTTTTCTTGACTATTCCTTAAAATAGATAATTGGCCAGGAGCCTGAATATATTTTAGCTATACAGAGCTTCTTGTGATGGGATTTGACCTGTATTTCATTAAAAAGCCAACTGATCACACTCAGCTCATCTGGGGAAGCCATAACCTACTCGATCTGTCCTGAGACTCTCTGTTCACTTAACGTTCATTTTTTATGTTAACATATTGTGAACAAACTGGAAAAAAAAAACTACCCACTTGGACATTATGATATTTGTTTGTAGCTTTGTCCTGGTTTTAGTTTCCTACTTAATGACTAAATGGCACCACAGTGGGTAATGCACTGGAGGAAAAGTGGTGAATCATTAAAGAGTTCGTAAATTTTAAAAACAGGGGCAGGCCTTCTGGGTCCCATATGCTTCCAGAAAACCCAATGTTCTGCTGTATTAATTGAACCGTGAAGCTTTTATTAGTTCTCTTTAAAAACGCTTGCAGTGAGGCTTTTATTAATGCCTGCCCTCAAATTGTTTATAGTAGTTAGCATTTCCATAACAATTTATATTTCAAAGAACTTTTTGATCATTAGTTAAATCTACTCTACATTTCTATAAGAGAATTCAGCTGTGCAGCAAAAGGCAGGCATGAAGGGAAATCTCTTAACTAATTTTTGCCCAAGATTTGCCAACGAGCAAATGAATAGAAAATGAGAAAATGAATAGAATATGAGCTCTTGCTTCAAATCTTCAGCTTATATGAATAGCCTGACCTTTTCACTTCATACGGGGGAAGAGTTGTTTGAAGTGTTCATACGATGATAAAGAAAAGGGAAAGAGACTACTTTCATACAACTGGCTTTTTAAAAATTAATGTTGGCCGGCGCCGCGGCTCACTAGGCTAATCCTCCGCCTAGCGGTGCCGGCACACCGGGTTCTAGTCCCGGTCGGGGCGCCGGATTCTGTCCCGGTTGCCCCTCTTCCAGGCCAGCCCTCTGCTGTGGCCAGGGAGTGCAGTGGAGGATGGCCCAGGTGTTTGGGCCCTGCACCCCATGGGAGACCAGGAAAAGCACCTGGCTCCTGGCTCCTGCCATCGGATCGGCGCGGTGCGCCGGCCGCAGCACACCAGCCGCGGCGGCCATTGGAGGGTGAACCAACGGCAAAGGAAGACCTTTCTCTCTGTCTCTCTCTCACTGTCCACTCTGCCTGTCAAAAAAAAAAAAAATTAATGTTACACAGCTTCACAACACAACTGTGACCATTCATTCATGCAAACTTACTTAGAAGCCCACAAGACCCCAGCACTGCATGGTTCTAGGTGGCATCAGGCACAATCCATGCTCAGCCCTTGGGACGTCTCTTCAGATGTTCTCATCACAATGACATCATAAAAAGTCAATTCGTCAAAACTGAAAGTCATCCTAGAATCACCTTAGGGTTGACACATGGCCCATTTTATCAGCTTTTGAAAACGTCCAGGCTCAAATCACATTTTCGACAATCATGGGATCACACTGAAAATCTGCTCTGGATTATAACAGGTTCACACTTCTTTGGAGGGAAAAAAAATCTTCTCTATAAGAGTCTCTTTGGGGGTCGGCGCTGTGGAGTAGCAGGTAAAGACGCTGCCTGCAGTGCCGGGATCCCAAACAGACACCGGTTCGGGTCCCAGCTGCTCCACTTCAGATCCAGCTCTCTGCTATGGCCTGGGAAAGCAGCAGCAGATGGCCCAAGTCCTTGGGCTCCTGCACCCACATGGGGGACCTGGAAGAAGCTCCTGGCTCCTGATTGGCACATCTCCAGCTTTTGCAGCCGATTGGGGAGTGAGCCAGCAGACGGAAGACCTCCCCTCCCCCTCTGCCTCTCCTTCTCTCTGTGTAACTCTTTCAAGTAAAAAAAAAAAAAAATCTTTAAAAAAAAAAAAAAAGAGTTCCTTAGGTCCACCTCCTTAAAAACAGCAGAGAATACTTGTAAGCCACTAGAATTCTCACAGAAATGACAGAAATGATTAACTCTTCTAGATTTCAACAAAAATTGCTTCTTGTTTATCATCAGAGAGCAAAATAACTGAATTACCATCTTAACTCAGAAGACAAATACTTATACCGAGATAGGATTGAATGATGTATTTGATTTCTTTCCTACCAACTCAAAACGAGAGGTACCAGTGCTGTTAGACAGATAAGAGCACTTCTGTACTTTGCCAAAGGATACTGAAGAGCACTGTGCCCAACTTTACCAGGCACCCAGCTCCTCCGGGGCTACGGCGGGAGAGTCTTCAGGAGAGAAGCAGAAGAGCGCTTAGAAATAGCCCTGAGTGATTTTTCTTATTTGATACACTTGGTAAAATGAAATCAGATGGGCACTAACATCTTTCCTTGTGAGATCTGGCAGCCTCCACAAAAATTAGGTTATTAGAAATAACATCCATACCAGTTTACAGAAAAAATTAATTTCTGATCCTTTATTTACAAAAATATCTAAGACACTAAATGAATCAAAACTACTGACATTTCTGTCTCTCCCACCAAAGGGTGGTTTATGGATGGAAATCACGTTTTAGTGCTCTGTGTGGCCCATTGGGGTACCACCCTGGCTGGCATCAAGCAGAGGTTTATTAAATTTTGAATGAGTGAATGAATGAATGAATGACTCAACTGCAGCAGTCCACATCAACCATATCCAGGAAGTCAACCCTGCAGTCAGGTGCCTCACCACTCAACAGAAAGACCCAATGCTTTCACTCAGAATGCTTCTGGGGTAGCAAAATGAAAACATAAACTAATTAATCCTATAGAGAAAAATTAGCATTGACTGTTCAATACATGATCACAGTAATATTTTATACTTGATATCAACTGAATTTGAATATGGATGAAGAAAACTTTTGTGATGCATGCAGAAAAGAATCCGCACTATCCCAGAACCAATTTTCAAGGCGAACATAAATGCTCAGTCTGAAACCCTATTAAAGAATTTCTGGAACCACTGGAGTGAGTCTATTTTTCTTTCTAGTGCAAAATAACTCTTTAGAGCCATTTGTGGAACAAAAGCAAAATAAATGGATGGTGACTGCATAAGATCAATTCAATTCTCTTTATAGATAGCAAAGAAATAAAAAAGAGACCTAAAAGGAAAACATTTTTTCTAAATCAAACAATCAGGCAATTTCTCACCAGTGGGACCTGTAAGGCACTAAGACACAAGCTAATAACAGCAGAAGAATAGTTTTGTGTACGTTCACCCATGCAAAGTGCACTTCAGATCTCTGATCAAGGTTTATGACTTGTGATAAAAAGAACAGAATTCCTACTCACCTGGCTCATTTGTTAGGACTATCCTCAAGCTCAGACTGCGATTCACAAAACCTTCTCAGAGTGGGCTAAGATCTCTATGATCATAAGAAAACTATACATGGGAATTTTAGTGGCCCCAAAGCCACACAAGCTTCATTCAATGGTAGTCCTATTTGTCCCCCACTTTTCCCTTATCCTACGTGAACAACTATTATGGCAATAGCTTCCTCACCATAGAGCAGTCTCAAGGGATATTTTCATGTTATAAAATCAACTTTCCTTGGGAGGCACAGTATGCCCACTTCCACTGCCAAAGATTATCATGTCTAAAAAAGCATTTTACTATGGGGGGGGGGGCTCAAACTGTAATTTGAAACACTGAATTTACCTCATAATAAATATAATAATAATAATACCTAATAATAAATATATGACATATATATTTAAATGTCACATATATATATAAAATGCAGACATTATTTCAAGTTTTCCTCAATTGAAAGGACAACAGCACTTCACTTGTAATGAGCAATGCAGCTCATAGAAATACCCTTAAACAAGGCTCTCTGTGGGAGACAAAGGAGAGTTGAGAGAGGAAATAGGTATTGAACACCAGACCTGTGGTTCCCGAAGTGTGGTCCCAGACTGCAACAGCATTACCCTAGGGGAACTCGTAAAAATGTGTAAGTCAAAACTATAGGTATAGGGCTTGATCCAATAAACTCTCCAAGTGATTCTACTGCAGGCTAAAGCATGAGAACCAGTTGCCTGTGTTGTGGAGACTCACAGTAAGAAACCTAGGGAACTCTCCATCTGCTTAACCAGATGATGTGGTATCAATTATAAATCATGGTTGTGATTATAATATACATGTTGTGATTACAATAATTATTGCATTATTAAGGAT